CCTCATCCCATTTTAGCACTGAAGATGTTACCTAGCTGGGTAATGAAACGTTTGCAAGAAAAGAACCAAGCTCAGAGAACCTCAAGGACTCCACAGACATATTTTGTTATGCTTAACATTCAGAGTTGTTTTCATATACTGTATGCCAAGGCTGAGCAATGGATCAATTTAAAGTACAGCTTTTTTTGCTTATTTCTGGTTTTACTAACAGTATGAAGATGAAATACATATTATAAACAAAGCCAGTGAGAGAGAACCACATGAGCCATTTTAACTTCCAAGGCATAAGAATGTGTGATTTTAAGCATTATGTTGGCAATGGGAGTAATGGTGCTTAAACATTGCTCACTTTTCAGTTGTACCCAAACTCTCCCTTGTTCCTAGTTTCTACCGAGTTTAACATTTATTTGGGAACCCAATGATGGTAAAATAAAAGTACAGTTTGAATAGGAAAATGGTTTGGAGAGTTATATGTGTTTTATGTTCAAGAATACCATTCCTTCTGCTGCTGTTGTAAACACACACACGTACAACATACACTTTTGATACACATAATAAATGTGTTTTAAAATCAAAGGATCTGGGTTGTTACTTATTGCACGTCTTATATGGTTACCAAATCCACACGTTTAAAAACAGTAAAGGAAATTTTGGCATTTGAGGGGAAAGTTAAATAGTACCCAATCTAATAACAAATATGAATACTAACAATTTGCCACATTTTTCAGGGTCCTGAAACTGGCACCTAAAGCACTATTTCAGCTGCTGCTTATAATAATTCTAGTGTAATGCACTTAACGCAATCTTCTTTGTTTTTACAGCATGTCTAAATCACATTTTAAAAAAGCAAACCAGTTTTACTGAAGATAGGAGTGCAAGAATATGCTTCTTGCAACTGGATTTGTGACAAGTGCAGCAAATAGTTCAATCTGCAGATTTTAGAAGATTGGGGAACTGAAATTATAAAATTGTGAGGTTCAAATTCTAGTAATTCTAAATTCAGATCAACAAAAGATTCCAGATGGATTTCAGTGAGCAGGAATTAAGAGATTGCTGTGTCGGAGAAGAAAGTTGCAACTAAATCTCGTTGCTGCACAAGTAAATATGAGAATTGACTAAAAGGATTGCAATACTCCTTCCCTTTCCCTTTCTCTATATAGAAGCCCACAGGGTTGGCAGCTGTATCTTAATTCAGTCCAAGATAGCAGGCACCCATATAGGTTAGATTGTGTTGTATAACATAATTTTATCCTTCCCATGCCTTCCCATTGTTTCTCTGAGTGTTTGCTGTCTGAAAGCATGTAATTTGATTATACTGCAATCCCTCTCCATTACTTTAACATACAACACCCCCCCCCAGCTTTATACAACGGTAAATCATATTTTGCAGATTGTAGTGTGAGGAACAGGAAATGTGAGCCCAGAGTGTGTGTGTGCATGCATGTGTGTGTGTGTATGTATGTATGTAATGGAGATAAGTGGAAACCTGGTTGAAAAAGAGAGTAGGAGGAGAAAGAATAAGAATGGGGTGATGAATGAGAATGGAAGAGGAAAATCGGGTTGAAACTAAATGGATGGGGAAAGCTCTTGGCCACTGGTTTATTCAGAACTATGGATTACCTCCATCTTCAGTGGCCCCCAAACCAGTTTGCAACATCCATGATTCCATTACCGGCGGGGGGGGGGGGTTGTGATATATATACACAGCATGTTTTTTCCTGTTCCAGTGAGTATTTCAGAGGAAGCTAATAAAACAGTGTGCGGGTGACAAATCTGTATGGAGGTGTCTGTAGCATCAGGATAAGAGCCACCTGCTCAGCAAGGTGCTTCATTAACTCTCTTCAGTGCCTCCCTGATAACGGAACCATTCGCTGTTCAGCAGAGCCATTTTTACCTCGCCAATAACCAAAAAGTATCTGAAATGAACTGCTAGCTCAGCAAAGAAGTCTTACTTCAGCTGATTAAGGGGAAGACTTTCATTTGATCCAGCTGCTGGCCGAGCAGCTTCACGAGTTTGTTGCAAGCAGGCAGGGGCATTGAAGATGAGAGGAGAATCACCCTGAGCGATAGAATTCCTATGTGACCTGTGAGGAACTCATCTCCTGGGAGACAAACCTGTGTTTTTCTCTAATACACTTCGATACAAGTGGTGCATGGGTGACCCCAAAGCAGGCACGAGGCTTTTTCCTGCAAAGAATAGCATAATCCAGAAGCTCACAACCTGAGACCTCAAGGTATCGTGTGGGTCCAAAGAAACTTCCAAAAGTTGTTACCAAATTATAAATCTTAATGTGCCAGAAAGGAAGAATTATTAAATACATGTCTGGAATCATATGAATTATATTTAATTAACTTTAATTATGATATGAAATCAAATAGAACTTAGTTTTTGTCTTAGCTCCATCCCACATTTCTTTACAGTGTGGTTCCCCCATCATACCACTCAACAGGTAAGTGTGGTCCTCTAACTAGGAAAAGTTTGTGTCTCGTGTAATTTCTGCAGATGTCATGTTATCAAGAGCCTGCTTGGGGGGGGGGGGGGGGGGGGGGGG